GGCCCTATCAGAAACGTTGCTATCAGAAACAATGCCCGACTGTTTTGGACGTAATATGGTCGGTGCATGTTTACATTAGCATCGCTAACACTCAGAGCTAACCTGTACTGGAGAGCATGTGTGTGAAGAAGCAGGAAATAAAAAGGAACTCACCTTGTGGTATACCGGCAAGAGAGAAAGCCTTTGAGCTCCATACTGTTTCAGAAATAATCCTTGATAATCCATGATATGGCGTTTCATCACCGCAGTATCTGCCGGTAGCTCTCCCGCATGAGCTCAGCCCCCTCCTTTTTTTTAATACATTTTTTGTTTGGTATTTTGAGCAAAACACTTCATAGACATGTTTTTTATATATTTTTATATATCTGAGAACTATGCTATTGCCTAAAAATAGCATGATAAGGGCACTTTAATGTTTCTCACGAACGGCACAGCTCCTTTTTTGCTATATACACTTGTTTTTGTTTTATTTGATGACCAACATGTGTTTCTCACTTCCTCAGTTGATGGTGTCCCTGCTGCTCTGCCTGTTGGACTGGTGCATGGCTGTTCCCTTGAGTCTGCTGCTGGAACCCATCACTATGCCTTCTCCGGAGGACCGCACATCCCATAAGGCCCCGCTGCTGGACTACATCTACAGGGTGGGTAGCCTCCCCGGCAGCTGGGGGGGCAACATTTTTTTTGAAGAACGGCCACTTTAGCTTCTTGGTGATTTCCGATAACTTCTGAATAATACATAGTCTTCATCCGCAAACACAATAACTCCAGCTTTGACCCCCCGCCCCCCTCTATTACCCACAAAATGCGCTTGCCACTTTAATTAGACTCACCTCCACCGTGACCTCATGACTATGCCTCATTTAACATCATAGTGGCACAGCATAAGAGAAACCGCCATAGCCGACTGTCCATTTATCATATGCAGGAAACCCTTACAACTTGCTTTGTAGTAGCATACTGCATTTACAAATATAAATTATATTATGAATTAAAAAATATGCAGTACCCACTCTAGTTACTCTAGTGTATCTGTCCCACTAGCCTTGTATTCTATAGTCTGACCCTGAGGAAGAGGGCCAAGCTTCAGGCACAAATGAAGGAGGTATTATTCATTCCCTCCTGTCTGGGCAGATGCGGTCAACGGCAGATCTTTGTAAGGATGTCACCCCTGATAAGAAATGGTCCAATTATTCAAACAGGACCCATTGTCCAGTTGATAAGCTCGGGCTATAAACGCTTGTCCTGGAGATTTGAATGGAATATGTCTTAATATGAGAGCGACTGCAGCTGCTATGAAAGCAAAGACAATTAGGCGTGATTGGTTGTCTATCAGCTAAACAAAAGACAATGGCCCCTCTGGGTTTCATTGGAAATAATATATTAGGCAAGGGCATCGCAAGGTGTGACAATATTAATGCAATGTCAGGAGTGGACTGAAATCTATACTACTCCGCAGATACCTCGGCTGCTGATTATTCTCTACAGCGAGCAGAGAATAGCTTCCCTAATTGGAAACATCTCCCTTTTATTGCATCACTGGCTAGTGTCACAGAGAAGGTAGCAGGGAGGGCTTTTCATGCTTCACCTTCCTTTAATTACAATTTCAGATACAAAAAAATAAAAAACCTTGTTAAATACCAAACACATCAAGCACAAGAATGGTACCCAGCTAATGAAAAGGTTGTCAGGCTATTGGTTCTGAGATGAAGTGAGAAAAAGTTTTTAACAGCATGCAGATCGATGTAAAAAGCGACATTGCATTAGAGCTCATTGGAGATCTGCTCTAGCTTCTCCATCTGCTCTTTTCGCTTCCCCGGCAGCCAGCTGCACTCCGCGAGTGAGTGTGTGTATTTATGTGAGGGAAAGAAAGCAAGAACAGGTCCATTTGTCCACGTGCACACCTGTATGCCTCTGTTTGCGTTTTTATGATTGGATGTATATGTGTACACAGGCGTATACTCATGCATCCATATGTGCCTCCTCCAACTACAGTAAATACTGCGCCTTACTTTCCAGGAACTGTTGCTATGCGAAAGTGCAGTCACTTAGTTGTCAAGCACAGCTGTGGGTCTCTCCCCCCCCCCCCCCCCAACCTCCTCCCTTTCTGTCTCTCCACCTCTCCACAGAGGAAGCTCTTTGGGGCTTTGGTGTAGCAGCTGTTTGGTTCAGGTCTTTTCAGCCTCAAGCCTCACAATCCCTCCCCCCCATGCACCCAGAGGTCTGTTCGGCAGAATCATCCACATACTGTCTACATTGCCCCACACAATACTGTTTCAGATGGCAGGGCCAGGCTGCCTCTCACAGCGTCTCTCAGCCAAGATGGAGCGTATGTGTGTACTGAATGGGATTAGCCCTCGCATGGCTTTACCCAAGTTGCTCTACTCTGAATGAGAGGCCCCCCCTCATTTACATACATTAGGCATATGTTTCACCCTCTCATACGCGGCACCTCACCTCCACTCGCATTATACAGTATACAGGTGTATTTGTGTGTGTGTGCATATTTGTGGTGGGAGCTGAGCACAGGGATAAAGTCTTAATTAAATCAAACAGTGTAAACCTGTCCAATGGCTGTAATCAACTGCCCCAGTGCGCCTTATCTAGCCCTGCCAACGGATGCTCTGCCATCTGTTATGTAGATCGATACACTCACACATCACAGGAGAAATGGATTAGTGGCAATAAAGTCCCCTCTCTTTTCTCTCCCCCCCCCCCCCCCCCCCTACCTCACTACCTCCTTCCGTCGCCTTATGATGTAAAGGCACCTTATATTCCCCTTTCATGCTCCTGGATCATGTCACTCTGGAGCAGGCCTGCAGGAGTGTCACTGTGCATCGTCTCACAACACACACACACACACTATACCAGGGGTGTCAAACTCAAGGCCCGGGGGCCAAATCCGGCCCGTGACTTCATTTTCTGTGGCCCCACAAGAGCTTGCAAAGAATATTATATGTTTATTATACGGTTACATGATTTACAGAAGCACGTTGCCCATAAACTGCATGTCCCACAATGCATCTCAAATTAGACTTTTTTTTCTCAGAATTTCACTTTTTTTCTTCTAAATATGGCTTTTTTCTTAGAATGTGCCTTTTTCTCAGATTTTTTTTTTAAGATGTTATATTATTTTATATATATATTTATATGGTTATGTATTTTTAAATAGTCTTGAAGTTACAACCGGCCCTTTGAGTACAGCCATAATGCCGATGTGGCCCGCGATTAAATTGAGTTTGACACCCCTGCACTATACATATCGAAGTTCAAGTTCAGTCATCACCTATCACTGTCGACACAAGACAATTCAAAGTGCTTTACAAAAATAAAAAGATATTAAGAGCAATAGGAAATGTGCAGCGTATACACATTTAAAATGGCATTTCAAAACAGCCAATTACATGCATAAAAGTAACAGTGCAGTGTAAGATAGGAATAGTTCAATAAAAAGCAGCACAAAAAATAAGGATGCCAGAACCTGAATAAAAAAAATAGTAAGAGTTGCAGCGGACTTGCAGGTTTGTGGGAGTTTGTTCCAGATATTTGGAACTCCATGTTTAGTTCTGATTCTGGGGACAGAACGCCGAACTGTCCGTGTAGTACGAGATTAGAAATTATAACACATTCCATCTGAATCCTCACCCCTTTTCCTGCTCTTCCTCAGGTGCTGCACTGCTGTGTGTCGGGCTCCACCCTGCACACCCAACAGAGCCACTACCTGCTCAGTCTGTCGGACCTGTCGCCCGACTATGACCTCATGTTGGGTCAGGTTAAGAGCTTCGAGCCCCCACCCTCCCAGACAACCTCCTCCGACTTCGGCAACCTGCTCACAGTCGCTGAGGGTAAGGAAATGGAGCCTTCCTGATTCCCCCTTTCCCCCCCCCCCGCTGTGCACGAGATTGCACTGGGCTGGCAGATAAAACGGCAATGGCCATTTATTGGTTGTATAGCATGTGTGCATTTGTGTGTGTGTGTGTCTGATATCTGTCACATCACTGCTTAGAGGACTATCTCTGGTCAATTTTGGGACACACTTCTTCATTTCCGTTCCTGTGCTTCTGACCACAGACCACAGAAAAAATATCCCCAAAAAAAGGATTAGAGGGAAAAGCAAACTCTGAAAAGCCCATCCATTTGGAGCCTCTCCATTAAATGTCAATATCTTATTAAAAGTATGAAAAGGAAATCAACCATCACAGGGAAAGGAATGTTCGCATTAGTACTCAGCCCTAGAGAGAAGACCCATTATGGGATTTTTTTCTTCTTTTTTTGTGACCTTGTGATTCCATTAGGCAATGTATTCCTCTCTGCCCCATGCCCTCAACTTCTGAAAAGTCCTTAGAGCCCAAATACAAAATGCAGTGTACTGAAACAATGTAAGACATTTGAACAGGAGCTTTTGCCTGAAACATTTCACCACACCTCTCTGTTTCTGGTGCCCATGTTCTTAGTAGAAATAACAAAACACTTTCAAAGGGGCAAACCAAAGAGAGCCGGCCTGGTTATATTCATGTCCCCCACCTCATATTGATCAAGTCACATCAAAGGGCTAGTGCATCTCTAATGCAGCTTGGCCTGCTTTCTAAAGAGCTTTCTCCACTTTGATGGGGGATGATGGTATTGATAGCACTGTCACAATGTAAGAGTGCATCTCCTTGTTTTTTCCCACATCACTGCAGAATAAAGCACCGCATGCCTTTCGCTTGGGACTAAAAACCTGTGCATTTACATAAATGCAATTCACTAAGTAGAGTCCTATTGAGCAGCCTGCAAAGATGGTGGTTCTCATTAGCACTCAGCCAGTCTCAACGTTTGTCTATTCTAAGAAGACTCAATGGGCTTTTCAAAGTTGTCTCTTTTGATTAGAGACCTACTTAGAGGTGTGCCGGCCAAGCTATTGTGAGAAATTAATAAAGTACACCTATTAGTAATCATAAATGAGATTTGGCTTTGTATAAAAACGAGCTAACTGAGATGATTGCTTGTCTACACACAAACATGGGGCTTTTGGGATACGGTTAGCAAAGTATGCGTTTGATTATTTAATAGGCCTTAACCCTGATGCCTTTTTTTTTTTTTCAGGCGATTCAATTAGTGTGCCAATTGTTTCTCAGTGTGTTGTTTATGTCATTAGTACTTTAAACGGTCCCTTTCCTGTCGTGTGTTATATATGTTGTGCATGTAAATCGTCTGCTAAAGCTAGGTCCCAAAGTGTTTCTCCTACACACACCAAACCCTTCCCCCTGCCTAAAACGCCTCCATTGGACTCCATTGTTAACATCCGTGACATACTGTAGTGACATCACTATGTAACACATGCGCCTATATTGGATAAAGCTCCAACACATTGCACGTGATAGGCTAAGGGGCGGGACATGTATAAGCAGTATACCAATAGAGCCGGCCAGCTAACCAATCAGAGCAGACTGGGCTCTGGATTCAGACAGAGCAGTGGTTCCCAACCTGGGGGGCGTTCCGATGAGATCGGTCTCGTCCATTTTGCAGATTATTTACGACTTTTGAATCCACATAAACACATCGGCAAAATCCGGCTCACTTTGAGCATGTCTTTTAAACAGTTTAATCCCTTTGTGAATTGTTTCCACTTGTGCCGTCCTTTAATTTCTTCATACAGCGGGAATCCAAATGAATGAATCCTGAGTCCAATAACCATCAAAGTCACTCCAATAGTGCTCCTTAATTACGCTTTCATCCTCCTTTAACAAAATACTTCACATTCATCCAGTTTGTGACAGTAGTTGTAGCATTTTGAGACTTTGAAACTTTAATTACCGCTGTTGCGCCCCCCCACCCCCCCCTTGTGTGTGTGTGTGTGGGGGGGGCGCAACTTCCAACACGAGTGATTTGGGGGGGCTCTTGGGGAAAAAGGTTGGGAACCCCTGAGACAGAGGGTGAAAAGAGGTGCTGCAGACGGAGAAAAAAAAAAAGTGCTTTTACATTCCGAATAAAGGCACTAACCAATGACATTGTCCAAATGATGACAGCTCATTGTATTACCCTTGTCAACTTTGAAAAAGGTAGCATATAGCAGATCCTTTCCTGTTGTTCTTACCTTTCACAATAAGAAAGCTGTGATTGATGTACTGCATAACTAGGCTATTCAACTATTCTGGGCAAATATGATCCCAGTAGTTGGTTTACCTCTACCTGCGTCGATCTATTCAAACTTTTTATTAAACCAGTAATGCTTCCGTCACAAATTAGCATCATTGTTGGTATACATAGTTTTGATGTGAAATATTCATAGTCAGCTAAAGCCGTTTACCATGTTTTACAATTTCTTACGTGTGTTTTACTTCAGAGACTGTCTAAGTATATGTATCTTCCTGCCATCATTTTCCCCCCAGAAAAGCGTCGTCGGAACATGGAGCTGATTCCCCTGACAGCACGGATGGTCATGACCCACCTGGTGAACCATCTGGGCCACCACCCGCTGAGCGGCGGCCCGGCCCTTCTCCACAGCCTCGTGAGCGAGAACCACGACAACCCTTATGTGGAGTCGTCCGAGCTGTCCTCCGAGGTTTTCAAAAGCCCAAACCTCCAGCTGTTTGTGTTCAACGACAGCACGCTGGTGTCCTACCTGCAGATCCCTGCAGAGACCCCCGCCGTCGGACAGCCCCCCAAATCTTCCTCCCAAGTACGTGTGATCGTCCGCGACATCTCGGGGAAGTACTCGTGGGATGGCGCAATCCTCTACTGCACCAACCATGACGACTGTGATGATGCAGGCGTTTTTGATGCAGTTGATCGCCCTCTTTCCACCACCTCTCATGACCCTCACAGCAGAAACCAGCCTGACTCTCCAACAAATGGACCGTACAAAAACCATTGCTCAGTCTCCGACTCGCTGTCAGACTGCTACGAGGAGGAAGGGTTGGATATATTGGACACGCTTTTGGAGGACTTGGGCCACAGCAGCCCAGAATGCCTCCCCGTACCACAGCTCAGGCTAAACCAGCCAGCCCCCTCCCCGCATGGCATGAACTTAGAGCAAGAGAGCGCCATCATGGAGGCAATCTTGCGTCAGATGCAGCAGGAGGAGGAGCAGGTGAGGAGGTGGGATGCTGACTTGAGCTTTAAGGCTGCCTGCCAGAGTGAACCGTCCCACCAGGAACCAAAAGCTCCTTTCTACTTTTGCCGGCTGCTGCTCAATGACCTTGGCATGAACTCTTGGGACCGCAGGTACGCTACAAACCGAAACTAGCTACCTGGTTTGCACTGTCGACGAAGAAAGACGCAAACAAGAAGCAGGGTTCTTAGAAGTTATTCTATAGCCTGTTGATTATTTGTTTTTATGTAATTCTTTAACATTCTCTCTGCTCTCATCTTAAATTCAAGCAGTACGAGCCAGAGTTACTTCCTTCCTCCTTAACTAGTTACCTACTTCCCTTAAGTAACTCAGCTGCTGGCTCGTTACTCAAAGAGAGAAAGAGCACAGTTAAAAGCACTGCGGATCTAGAGAGACTTAATCTCCTCTCCACAGGGTAAAGGTGCCCAGCTGTTTTCACTAAGGTCCACCTCACAGAGCCACATCTTTGATGTGCTTTCCCGTAAATTAAAAGCTTACACCTCGTAATGGTGACCGTGCAACGTGCCCACAGCAAGAAGGAGATTGCTGTTCGCACCTGTGCCTTTTTTTTGCCTCTGTTAATCTTGTCTGCTAAACAAAACTCCACTATTTTCTCAATTTTCTAGTAGATTAAACCCTTTTTCCAACAGCGGTTAGTTGCTACCATGCTTTTTATATTCAGAATTGAAAATGTAATTAAGACTTTTTTTGTCCAACAGGAAAAGTTTCCATTTGCTGAAGAAAAACTCCAAACTTTTAAGGGAATTGAAGAACTTGGATTCCAGGCAATGGTAATACTTTTATACATTTAATCTGACACAATATATATTCTGTTTGTATTCATATACTTCTGCTAATCATGAGACAGTCTTGCGGTAAACCTGTTAGAAATTAACTGAAATGATGCATCATACAGTTGCTCCAAGCTGAATATATTTTCCCACCCCCTTCACTCCCTCCCTTCCTCCCCAAAGATCTTTCTAATTTGTACCATCTCCTGTTGATCACAGCCCTGGAAGTCTCCCACAATAACTCTGTCTTTCTTAGACTGATCATTAAGTACACCACACTTTGCTGATGACAGGAGCTTATTAAAGATTTCCCTCAGGACTGGACTTTATTCTCCCAGATGGCCAGCCTTGGTTGGGCAATAACAACCTGTGCGCAAGCATGCAAAGTGCCCTAAATCTACCCCAGCATGATGTACTGCCATGGCAACAGGGAAAGTAGGGAAAGGGGGCCTTTGCTGCCATCCTTTTTAAAAATCAGGTTAGAGCTGCAGAGATAGTGGAAAGAAAATGCTCATTCTACTCTCCTGATTTTATACAACTCAATTAGACTTACACACAATTTACCTCCATAAGTGTTTTGACTTACAAAGCATCAATCATCTGAGGTGGCCACTGGAGTGAGAAGCTTTTCAAGTTCTGTTAAAAAATGTCTGCTGTGTTGTGGTTGTTCTTTTCAAACCCATGATTTGTTTTGTAGTCGAGAAACACACAAGATCGCTGTGTTCTACATTGGAGAGGGCCAAGAGGACAAGTGCTCCATCCTGTCTAACAGCGCGGGCAGCCAGGCCTATGAGGACTTTGTGTCAGGACTGGGATGGGAGGTGCCAAAGACCACACCCTCACATCAACATATCTTATGTATCCACACATACTGCCTAAATATGCACACACTCACACTCAATTGTACATGTGTCCCTCAGGTGGACCTGGCCACACACTGCGGCTTTATGGGAGGCCTCCAGAGGAATGGCAGTACGGGTCTAACGGCTCCTTATTATGCTACCTCCACTGTGGAAACCATCTTCCACGTCTCCACTCGCATGCCATCTGACTCTGACTGCCTTACCAAAAAGGTAAAATAAAAATCTTGTTTGTGTTGATTATCTTTTTTTATCCTATGTAATGATAAACGTTGACAGTTCCTTCCTGTCTGTGACATTTGGATTAATGTATTATATCATTGTCATTTTTGCACTCCTCAAGCCAAGAGTATGTAGAGAAAAAGGAGAAAATGATGCGGTGAAATGGCTACACAGGCCGGCCTGCCCATAGCAGTATGTTGTTGTAGCCTTCAGCCCTGTGTTAAGCTGTGATCAGGAGGTGTGACTCCAGAGTGCGGGCATTGATTAGTGACCCTGGCCAGGCAGGCCTGAGGAGTAGAGAGTCGCAGGCGCGTGAGTGAAGAGAGGGCATGTGCCGCTGCGGTAATGACTATGATTCTGCTAGCCCCTGCCCCCCTCCCTGTGTGCTGTGACCAGGGCCTGGATTCAGCCATTAGCTCTCCCTGCTAGGGCAGGCGCCGGCCGGATGCCGGCAGGATCCTTTTATCCAATTCCTGCTACCGCCACAGGAGCGATCGATTGGGTTCTGCAGTGGGATTCTGAGCTGTAGTGCACCAGTAGCAGTTAGCACGAAGAAATGAGCCGCAAGGCCCCTGCCCGTGCTGCCAATCTTCTCATACAGTACCCTGCTGAGAAGGGAAATTCATCAGGCTCTCCTCATGTCCAACCCCCGTATAGTCCTTCACAGACTTTCCCCCTCTCTGTTTCACCAATGACCCCCTACTCATTACGAAACCATCCTGAATCTGTGCTTGGTGACCGCAAAAAATTAGTGAGCAAAGATTTTGACTTTGGCCAGAGTGAGGCGCTGCAGGGGCGGCCGGGCCCAGAGCGGAGTGTGCTACCACTCTTCTTCCATTCATTTTACAGGGAACTTCTGTAATTGCTCACGCTCACCTTGCAAAGATCTCTACAGGCTGCACAGAAATTGGCAGGCTGGCTGCTTGCATGGATGTGTCAGGGAAAGAGATGGCAGGGAGAAGAGGAAGTGGTACGAAGAATTGGATTGAGAAAAGCGCTTAGTCTGTGTCCAAGTAGGATGTTTCCCTGTCAATTTAAAAATAACACTTTTAGTCCAGCAGTCACTCGCTTTACTGCCTGCAACCATAGAGGCGTACTGTGGGGGAGTGACGGATGGGGGAGCTCTGCTGGGCAGATTGTCTGTTTGAAGAACGTTGAGGGGAGAAAAAAAAAAACCCAGCCAAACCAAAAAGAAAAGAGGGAAGACCATGAATTCCTCAATCCAATTGTGGGTTCTGGGGCAGTGCAGGCTGCAGCAGTGGCAGCTGGCTTCAGTAATGCGGTTAGAGAAGCGACCTGCAGGGTTGGGGTCAGGCCATGGTGTGTGTGTGTGTGTGTGTGTGTGTGTGTGTGTGTGTGTGTGTGTGTGTGTGGTGTGTGTGTGTGTGTGTGTGTGTGTGTGTGTGTGTGTGGTGTGTGTAGTGTGTGGTGTGTGTGTGTGTGTGTGTGTGTGTGTGTGTGTGTGTGTGTGTGTGTGTGTGTGTGTGTGTGGTGTGTGTGTGTGTGTGTGTGTGTGTGGTGTGTGTGTGTGTGTGGTGTGTGTGTGTGTGTGTGTGTGTGTGTGTGTGTGTGTGTGTGTGTGTGTGTGTGTGTGTGTGTGTGTGTGTGTGTGTGTGTGTGTGTGTGTGTGTGTGTGTGTGTGTGTGTGTGTGTGTGTGTGTGTGTGTAAATAGACAAGTGCCTTAGCTATCACATTCACCCCCAGGCACCGCAGCTTAACTGGGCTGCTGCAGGTTGTTTTTATAAGGAGCCTCTTGTGTTCTGGGGTCCTCTGGTCGGCTGTCTCCATGTGTGTCAAGCCCATTGGCTGAGTGGAAGGTCAAAAAGGGCTAATTGGACAAGAGCCTTTGACTTGAATCACATTTTTATAAAAGAAGTCATTGGATGTGATTAACAAGGGAGTAAATAGGTTGGTGCAGCAGATGATTGACTAGAGCATAAGCATCCTCATTAAACTTGTGATTAAGCTCGTCCAAATGCTAATATCTTAACCCAAATTAACATCCCAGTGTTAATTGTCTGCAGCAAATGCATATTCAACATGTTCTCTGAAATTGTCCCAGTGACTGACCTGGTTGGTACCTGCTGATCCTTGGACAGACAGACTGAACTGGCGAGCTCCAGTAATCAGCATGCCGTGGATTTGTTTAAGATTACCGTATTACCATAATTAAGGGTTTATAATAGAATGTGCTAATTGCATTTTTGGTGGCGAGGGCATGTTTCTTAATGGCTCATTAGGCCCACAGTACATTGGCAGATGTTTTCTTCTGAGCAGAGGCTCACTTTTCAGTGTCCATGATCCCCCCCAGAAAACATCACTGGGCTACCAGCTAATAAGTGATCCACACTTGTCAGAGAACATAATGAGGCTGTGTCCCTCTAATTAACTTTGGGAAAGAGGAAAGCTGTTTACCTATTTCAATCGAGCATCAGTCAATTTCCTGTCATTTAAGCATACGTTCTTCTCCAGCCCAGTTTCATTTGGGTTCGTGAATAGAGTGGAAATGGGAAGCAATTTAATCTCTGATGGGGGGAAAGTCAATTGGATTTGAATTATTTGCTTTTGAAATGCTCAATTTTGTGTTCGCAATTTAAATTTGTTTTGAAAAAAGCTATAAAAAGAGGCGAATCTAAGACTCCTACTTAAACCATTGTTTTCATAGTCACCTTCCACACCTGCTGCAATTATGCTTTATCTTTAAGATCCAACAAAAGTGCTTATATCGGAATAACGCATTAAATAATATATTTCTGTATACAGTGATAAAAGCCAGTAACGGCACATTTGCTGATCTGTCAGCAGTGAATTGTGTTTTATTATCCCCTTCTACACACCCCTTATATCTCATTGCACTCCTCACCCTTTACGAGGGGTTGCCCCAAGCTACTTGCTGGCTGAGCCCGGTGACATGCTCTAAATCTCGCTAAATGTGTGTTCCTGTCATCATCACCTTACCTTACCTTAGGGATGAAAATTACGTGCACTTGCCAGGTACTTGATTAGACTGATTTTGTTTGTTGGCAGCTACGTCACCTGGGAAACGACGAGGTGCACATAGTGTGGTCGGAGCACAGCAGGGACTACCGGCGTGGCATCATCCCGACTGACTTTGGAGACGTGCTGATCATCATCTACCCCATGAAGAACCACATGTATTTCATCCAGATCATGAAGAAACCACAGGTACATGTGCACACTGCAGATTTTATTAAGGGTCATTGGAAATGGGAAATTACTTTTTGACATTTTTTTTAAATGCTTATTTTCCTTTTATACTAACAGGACAAAGTGCCAAGCATAAAAAGCTGAAGAGCGCTCTGGCTATTTTCATCACTGCACTAATTTCCAGGCTCTGAGTTTAAACAGTCCCTACTCCGCTTCCTTCTCAGACTTTGCCATGAATTTCTCCATCCTTTTTCCCTGTTATGGTTTCTGTCTGAAGGCTCTCAGTTCCTCATACTCCAGCTGTGCATTATTACCCATACTGTGGGTATGTGCTCTCGGAGATGGTTGCACTCATTTCCTGCCTAGCTTTCATCTTGACCACTCTGAAGTACTGCACTCGATGTGTGGCCTTCCAGAGGATAGTGAAATGTCTCTTTCAGGGAAGGGCTGCCTTCAGATGTTCAGATACATCCACTACGATTTCAGAGATCCGTGACCTAATGTAAGAAATAACATTTTAGCTTTATAATGACAGTATACCAGCTCCAGAGGAACTGCTAATTATTAAACATTGGTAGCACTTTAGGACCAATACAATAATTGGCTCGCCTGCCTGAAAGTATCCGGGCCCATAGAGAGTACACGCTTGCATTTTGCTTGAGCTCCGCCTCTGGTGTCCCGCTCTCGGCTCAGCCAAATGAATGAAGAGAGAAAATAACTCTGGATTCATTTTTTTGCGCATTTTACAACTTTTAGAACCTAATGATTTAATTAAGGGCTATACAAGTGTTCGTACTGGGAGGTTGATTTTGTTTAAAAAAAATTATCTGCTGATTTACAGACATTTCTTTCCCAATGTTGGTCAACAGGAAAAAGTATTTTTGGACACAGATCTTATAGTACCGCCCTGTGGCCACTACGAACATTTGCTTTACCGTCCAGGGCACTTCCTTGGGACTTGGTTTCGACAGTCATAGCCCAACAATCTTGAGAATTTTCTGTTAAATATTTCATTTTTTCCTCTCAAATATTTGTCAGTTTTTAACTCTGTTGCATATCTCTTTCTTTACTGCCAATAATAAATCTCTGTACTAATCAAATTGATCTAAATAGTACAAATCTGCATTTCTTAAGAACTGTGAGCGACTGTTAGATTAATAAATAATACACAAAGAAAAGTGCGTTAAGTTCTTTAATGATCGCAGATGGTTCACAAATGAAAACATATTCTCAGTAGAGGGTCTCTGCAGCCAGAGCACAGGAGGGTGAAAAGCCACTGATCTGCCCCCCAACTGTGACCCCATGCAACCTGGTAAAAGTTATCTAAAATTCTCTCACTTAAACTGCCCCCGACTTCAAGAACCTTTAAAGTAATCTACTCAGGTTTCTGATTTTAGTTTATCCAATGTCACCAAGTCTTCTTGCATGTGATTATTAGGTTAATTGGTCTGTGTACTTTCATGTTAAAGGTGACATGGCCATTTCTACTGATCATAATTCCATTGTTGAGGTCTACTTGTTCAATGTTCCAAACTCACATTGGTTTCTCATACAGCATCTCTGTATAGTATGTGTATTCACTCTCTGTCCTAAACGCCTTGTTGGAGCTCCTGCCCCCCCCTCCCTGTGAGCCCACTGTGCTCTGATTGGTCAGCTCGCCCACTCTGTTCTGATGAGTCCACCACGTTACAGCGGAACATCAGTGTTTATGTTTTACAGTGGCGTTTGTTAGCAACCAGAAAATGACACCAGTAAGGACAAACAGATGAGAATGCTGCGTGGGGTCTGGGTGCCGTGTTGGCGGGACGTTGCGGGGCTCGCTGCTCCGCCCTTTGAGGCTCGAGGAGCGGACAGTGTGAGCTGGATTACTGGTGTAGTTTCCTTGTTGCTGCGTGGGGTCTGCGAGACACCACGGAACTCAGCCTGAGCACACACATACACTCACAGCCAGGCTGTTCGCCACACAGTTCGCCACACACTCGCAGCCTGAGAAAAGATAAGGCTGAGTGAGTGAGTGTGTGTGTGTGAGGAGCTCCACGGATTGGTCCATTTGGACCAATTGGTCCTGGGGCAGCATAGACAGGTATTTTCTGTGTTAGAGTTTTACTCGCTACAGGGTGTACTTTGAGGGTTTGTGACTTTGCAGACCGTTTACATGCATAAAAACCCAAGGGGACGGGTAATAACCGGAAAAGCATGACATGGGACCTTTAAAATCCATTTATTGTATAATTTGTCTGGTTATTATACGTGCTGAACTACCAAGTTGAAGACAGCAGGACCTTTTGGAGACTTTGACATTCACGTCAACTTCCAGGTCAACGACCATTGAGCTTCAGTGATTAAGGGCCCCCTTCCAATATGCATGAACAGACGCGTGTAGCCACCCACACTCACACGCTGCCACTGAAATGCATATTGCCCCTTTGTATTTGTTCGGTAGCTCAATATGAGGTCTTTGTTTTGTATTGATTGTCATTTTAATTTCATTTGCCTAACGTTGATTCGCATTAGATATGTGTGGTTGTCATGCAAAGTTAGGTAAGAATCCAATTTCAACTTGAACCCTTGCCCTAAACAGATGGAGAAACAGTTAAAAAGAGAAGAACAAAACACATTTTAATTAACCTTTTCCTACATGTTGGGAGATTACTTATACAAGGACAGAACGCTGAGTGAGTTAACTTTGGATTATTGTTGAGCGTTTGATGCCTCATGTTTTTTTTCTTTACTTCCCCAGGTTCCTTTCTTCGGGCCTCTGTTCAATGGCGCCATCATCACGGGGACGCTGCTGCCCAGCTTGGTGCGGGCCACCTGTGTCAATGCCAGCAGAGCTGTCAAGTCCCGGCTGACTCTCTACCAGAGCTTGTATCCTTGACTCCTAATGTGTTCTGCTACATTTAATCTGCACAGAGAAATCGAACAATTCATAAGAAAAGACCCCATTGATGACCCATACAGCCAAGATATTAACGGTTGTGAGCAGACATGGCTTTTTATAATGATTTCATGACACCACCAGTGGTCCATTTGGGTAAATTCATTGAGACATGTGGCGTGCTTGTCACATCAGCTAACGTACACAGCTGAGTGCTGACACTGATCTTTATGGGCTGGCTGATTTACATACAGCTATTAGGCCAGGGCTGTTTCGCAGCCTGGAGCAGCATGGGAGGTTGTTTGGGGTTGTTTTGGGCAGGAGCGCAGATAATGTGTCATCATCTATCACTACCGTTTTATGGAGCACAAGGAGAGCCGAAATAAGAGCACCCTCAGCAAATGCACACACAGACAAACACACACATACTCACACTCGCTGTCATCCCTCCACCCATCCAGCCAACAGTGTGCCGTTAAGAGCCTGACTCCAGCTGTAGTTGTCAGTTGGTTTAAAGGGAGTGTAATCACCAATGGAGATGAATTAGCATGTGAATGCCAGCAGCACTGAGTTGGGGGGGTGAGACGGGGGGCAGAGTCAGGATGGCCCCTGGAGGGGGAAACCTGATCTCCCTCAACGCCCCGCTCCTCCTCGGACAGCATGTACAGCACCGCCTCACCAGAACCACGCTGCCCCTCTGGCAGTTGCTATAGAAACCTCCCCTGAGGATGTTTCATTTGGGTGGAAGACCACTCTTTTTTGTTTTTTAGACATTGACGTATTCTGCTTGAATTATTCTGAAGTCATTGTATCAGTCATTTATCCAAAAAAAGCCTCTTTGTCGTTCCTTCAACGCAGCTGCGCGTGTTGTTTACAGTCGGCTGTGTGTAAGTATGTGCCTGCCTGTATGCGTTTCACAGTGCATCACATCCCCTGGCCCCACCCCACCCCTATATCAGGCCTTGGCTGTGTGTCCTCAGGGGAATCCTGAGTGACAGATGTCTGTTACCCGACGCCAAGTGAATTAGCCCAGTGTGACACTCAGTGCCAGAGGGAGGGGGGCAGCCACAGGCCTCTGTGAGCCTCTGGGGGGAGGGGGGGGTACAGTACCGGGCCTGTGCCGGGCCACAAAAGCTTTACCTGGCATTCCTTAGCAGAGGAGCAGGCAGCGTGATCTATGAGAGGAGATAAGCGCTGCCTCTAGAGCTCTGGCACTGAGCGGCTGCCAGGCCTCACACACTCCAAGAGAGGAGATGAATGAATGTGCCAGGCAACACACACTGCCAGCATGAGTATCTATATGTCTGTTTGTACTGCTGTTTGAATGCATAGCCTGAGAACTTGTGAGGACAGCCAAAATGTGATGACCAAGTTTTAGATTTTAAGTCCTGACTGGCACCGGTATGGACCTGAAGCGATAACCAGCTAATCTTTCAAATGCTTTCATCACTGTTGTATTACTGCAGCCTTTTGCACTTCTCCGTCTCCAGCCGTCATTCTTCCATCTTCTCAGGTTATGCGTCCCTTTATCTATCGCAGGTCGGAACAATGACCCTCCCATTTTTTTTTTTTGTCTCGGCTGTGTTTTTCTTTTTTTGTTACAAGATGGAAAATCCTCATCCTTGGTTTACCCCTTCACAATGCCTTAACAATCCACAGTCTGCTCTCTGCCTGTGAGGCCACTCTCCAAGGTAATTAGTTGAATATTTCAAAGAGAAGCTATATGACCCCTGTGTGTCCAGATAAAAGGCCAGTGTGGCGCTGTGGCCCCCTCTCTCGCTCTGTCACAAGGCTTCGAGAGGACTCCAGCAGTCTGCCGCAATGCTCACAGGATCTCTCAGGCTAATAGGATTTGATATTAAAAAATGACCACGAGCCACATTTTCAGAAAATATACAGACAGTAAGAGTGTTTTTCAAATACTCCCCCCTTGCTGTCTTCCTTTCTTCCTCCTCATTGCATCCTTTTTTTCCTCCAGCTCTGAACTGTGAGGATTTGTGAAATCTGTGTAGTTGTTTTCTTGTACTCTCCCATTGTCAGTTACAATCTGTGTCAATTTCTTCAGTCAAGACAAAACCTTGGCCTCATAGACACCATATCACAAGCCTCCCCCAGACAACTCATAATGTATCATCTATTATTTATACGCCTGATGGAAAATGCAGCTGGTCTGGCTTTGTGTGTTCTAAGTGTATTGTCTGCAACTAGTCTACACTCCACATTTTAAATAATTGACAACACAAAATGTGCCTAAACAACTTTTTTAGAAAACTACCACTTTTTGGGGTAGTAGAGTACAGCATGTAGATGTAATTCTGTTCCTGCATTAATGGTGCAGTGTATGACATACCGGCATAGAAGACGCAATAAGTGTGTTTGCGTCACATGAACTCAGGCTGTCACTGAATGGTTTTGCTGTCTGCTGCCATTTCCTTTTTTATGAAGATCCTTCATACTGTCACTGTGGAATAATGTCTCCATCCAGAAGCTGGGATTCATTTCTCTCTTCAGCAAGCACTTGAGTTTGATGTGCCGTCCATCGCTCTTTGGGATGGGGGTAATGGTGTGTGTGTGTGTGTGTGTGTGTGTGTGTGGTGTGTGTGTGTGTGTGTGTGTGTGTGTGTGTGTGTGTGTGTGTGTGTGTGTGTGTGTGTGTGTGTGTGTGTGTGTGTGTGTGTGTGTGTGTGTGTGTGTGTGTGTGTGTGTGTGTGTGTGTGTGTGTGTGTGTGTGTGTGTGTGTGTGTGTGTGGTGTGTGTGTGTGTGTGTGTGTGTGTGTGTGTGTGTGTGTGTGTGTGTGTGTGTGTGTGTGTGTGTGTGTGTGTGTGTGTGTGTGTGTGTGTGTGTGTGTGTGTGTGTGTGTGTGTGTGTGTGTGGAGGGAAATGGCAAGTTTCGAATAGGTGAGACAGTGCTGAACTGACCTTGATTCAGAGACATTGCCTCCCTACTGGACTGAATCAATAGTTTTTGCACACTGCCCTTAGTCCCCATCCTCTGGTCTGGCAAACACACACACACTCACAAACACACACACAGATCCATCTCCAGGCAGCGATCAATAACCATAATCTGTTTCTGCCGATCGCCAGTCATGCGAGCCAGGCTTTTAGGTGGGGTGTGTGTGTGTTTATCTGTGTGCAGAGAGGGAGGCTTGATCCCAGAATGCTGCTGGAGTCTCTCATGTTCCCTCACTGGCTCCTGTGAGCATATCTACAGTCCTCTAGCTCCCTGAAAGCCAAAACGAGATGTACATCATTTCAAAGGATGTATACTGAAAAAATAATGGATATGATATCCCGTGAGCAGTTCTTTTTGTGTTGCTGCACCCCCCAAGGCGCCATCATAATTACTACAGACCCTGCATTGGCAATGACATATTCTCACACCCCTTCCGAGCAAGTTATTGTCCCACTCTCGCTGTGTCTTTGTCCAACGGCGGTGCGTTCTTTTGTATACAGTAAGATTCCTCACCTAGCGGAGATGAAAGTGCGGCTGTATGCATGATGGGATGTCATGAATAGGATATGCCATGTTAGTGTTGTCTCACATGAATTATTTAGCATCGTTGATAGGTCTAATTTGCCAGCTGTTGTGCCATAACTGTCGGCAGACTCATAGATAATACTCAGCAGTCTATATCGCTGTGGAACACGGTGCTTGACTGTGCACAGTGAGACGCCGGGCTAGTCATTATTTGCTGGTTCATGTAATGGTCTGAGCTGAAGTGAGTGTAACTAGCCAACTTCCTGTTTATGGAAAACAAGGCCGACCAACTAAAAGCTTTTACAAGTTGCCGAAGTAATTTGTGATATACAATAAAATTAGAAATTACCTTGATTTGTCGTGCATTGTATATCTGGTATTACTGGTTGCAAGCCTTTATTTGGAGGCAGTCGGCTGTTGTTGGGTGGGTAGCGGGGGTCCGTTTCTGAGTTGAAGTGTCACTGCTTGGAATTGGCAAGGGCGGTTTGGGCAGAGGCTGGCATTGGCTTTGATAGAGCGGTTGAGAGTGTATGCAGTATTTGGGGGGCTACACTGAGAGGAGGGGTCTCTCCCCCACTGAATGTTTTAACCTAATCCCATTATCAGTGTAGCGCACTGCCTCCCATCTCTTTCCCCTCCTTATCCCTGCCCCCTCCCACCCTTCTCTCCAGCTGACCAGCTGTTCCTGCCGGGACTCACGACAATGTCCGATGTGTTCAGATCACTGAGTACCCCCCCCCCCCCCCATCTCCATCACACACACAAATACACAGGGCGCAGTCCATGCACAACCGAAGCAATTGGCTAGCCCATTGCTGGAGCCCAGGAAGGCCTAGAGGGAGGAGGGTGTTAGTGAGGGGAGAAGGGGGGAAGCTCTGGGTTTGAGGAGGGGGCAAGCACAGGCCTGTCAAACCAAGAGCCCTGACTCAGGAGGCAGCCCGGCTCGGATGGCATATGGCGTCTAGCTTCATACAACATGCAAAAGTATTCTCTCCATTTGCCCCCTCCCCTCATCGAGCCCCCCCTCCCTGTCTCCCTCCCCTGCTGCTAATGCAGAATGACTCATAGCATTACTCCTTTTTTTTTCTCCCTCCTTTCCCCCACATTAGTTCCTCCTCCTCTTGCCACCCAGCCTGTAACAAAAGGCGTCCGCTGCATGGCACCCACACCCTGAAAGCCCTGGGGGCCCAGCCCAGCCTGCACTCTGAGGCCTGAGCTTCATGGGGCCCACCCCTTTTAAACACAGGTATAGCAGGCGTGGAACCAAACGGCCAACAGCAGGGACCCAGAGCCACGCCTCGGGTAGCATACACACACTGCTGGTGTCAAACTGTTGTGCCTGTTTGTGTTGGTACCTTTACGGTAGCTGCCTTTTAATTTTGTAGCGCCTCTAGTAATATAAAACCATCCGGCTTTCTGTGGTTATGCATATTTAAGCACCATGTGTCCTTTCTTTTTCTAAATAATACCTGTATGACAAAGAAGGGTTGTCTTTTATTTGCAAAGAG